GTCGTGGCTGGGCGGCAGCATGTCCACGCGCTGCACCTCCTTGGCGTAGTAGTCCTCCTCGCTGCTCTCGCGCTCGCAGGCGGACTCGGCCAGGCGCGCGTGCTCCCTCACCAGCTCCCGCGTGCTGTTGTACAGCAGCATGACCTCCGGCGCCACCTCCGGGGCGGGCGGCGCCAGCGCGGCCTCCGGCGGCTCGGCGATGCGCAGCTTGCTGAGGATCTGTCCGCGGACCGCCCGGATGCGCTTGTCGCGGTACTCCTTCAGGTCCAGCCCCTGGCAGGTGGAGAAGCCCCCAGCCGGGCCGGCCAGGTCCAGCAGGAGGGCCAGGTGGGCCGCCAGCCAGAGCGACAGGGGCGCCATGGCCCGGTCCGGTCCGGTCCGGGTCCAGATGCCTGTGTAGACCGTGTCGTTAATGGCTCGATTAATTGATTAATTGGTTAATTGGTCAGAGAAGCAGAACAGCAGCAATCCCAGACTCTCTCTCTCTCTTGGCTTCTTCTTGTGCTCTGGTGTGGTTCCGACCCGAGGGGGGGGTCGATCCAGTCGAGCAGAGCGATCCGGGCTGCCTGGGCGTCGGGGGGGTGTCCGCACCTCCTGGCTCCGGCATTCATTCGGCCTCCGTGCGGGAGCAGGTCGATCCCGAGGGGGCTGTCACTGTCGAGCAGCGATCCGCCTGCGAACGGGAATTTTCTGGGATGGCTGGCTGGAGTGGAAGGTTCTCGCCTTCCCAAAAATTCATTCCAGCTCGCCTCTTGGCTTCGGGAAATTCTCCGGAGGAACGGTGCGCAGATCCCAGAGTCCTCAGACAGCGGGTTCCGAAAAAAAAACACTTCCTTTTATCCAGCTCTGAGTTCGGCCATAATGAGCTGCAGTGCCACATTAGTGGGCTGCTGTGAGTGTATGAGAGAGAGAGACAGAGTGTGTGTGTGTGAGAGAGAGAGAGTGTGTGTGTGAGAGAGAGAGAGTGTGTGTGTGTGAGAGAGAGTGTGTGTGTGAGAGA